CCTTCTTGATGGTCCAGCTCTCACTTCCATACATCACTACTGGGAAATAAATATAAATAATTTACAGTAAAATGCTTTAATTGCCTATATCTTACCTTTTGCACCATCTTGGAATGAAATTATTTCTCAAGTATGCATTTACACTGTCACCAGATTATCCTACAGCAGCATATAATCAATCCAACATTCCTAATATTCCTAAATCTCTTTTCATATAGTAAATTACTGACCTCTATGTATTCAGTAGGGTTGCTATCTTTCCTTAATCTCTTAGCATTATAGCCACCAGTTGTTCCCACATCTTCCTAGTTATATATTTTTTAAGTTTTTAATCTTCTTCCAAGACTTGGCATACAGAATTCTTGACATAGTTAAAATATGAAGATTTCCTGAGACCCAGTATGTTGATGGGGACATTCAAGTTTACACTGTTCAAGAAGCATACTGAAGAATCTAATCTTTCTGGAAAATTTAATCAGTCACATTTACTACCATAACTCCATAAATGGTAAAAAAAACTTCTTTTCTCTCTTTACAAAACCAGCATTCCTCAGTTTTCTCGTCACACCAGACTGTCCTATATAAATGTCATATCACCACAGCAAAATCATCACATTCTTGCCCAATAGTACTTAGTGTTAGATGTCACAATAAATTGCATTTATTTAGATTGTGAACACCCAAAGTATAATCATGAAATAGAATGTGCATACATTTAAAGGTATATGTGCATGTACACATTTATTAATAGGTAATGCATACTAATTAATAGACTGTATTGATATCTTGTTCTGGAGAACTTGGTCCTCCAGCAATGGTAATTTTATGTATTGTCTGTTCCCCTTAAGGGTGTTAAAGCCCACGCCTCTCAGAGATAATACAGCCTTTCTTCATCTTCCTTTAGTGCCATTAAAGCTACAAGCCTTTTGCTGTAAAAAAGTATACTAATGAATAGAAATGTTACAAGAACAGAAGTCTTGTGTTTTCCCTTCATCATGCATCATCCATTTTAATTAGAGGAAAGGGTAGTGAGCACAGTGACAAGAGTGTGGAATTAAAATCATTAATTGATGTCAAGCTGAAGAGAGGCTGCTAACATGAATTTAGTGACAGCAGGAAGGAAATTAACCTTATTACTTTATTTAGAGCATTAGTTTATTTAATATTTTTGTCTATGCAAATCCAGAGTGCTTTATTTATGACAATGGCAAAGGACAAATAATTCATTAAAAATGTGAATATTAATTATTTCACAGCAATGAATCTTACAATAGGCTCACTGTTCTTAGAACATCCATTAAAGTTGGTAGGCATGGATCTTAATGCGCTTAGATTTTTATTTTCAGGGCCAACATTCTTACATAAATGAATAGGTGGGATTGCTCATGTGGTTTGCGTTAGAAAACCACCTGATGAAAAAATGCATCAAATGGCATTGTTCACTTTAACGTGGACTATAGTGGAACAGCCAGGAAAACACATTTCTTATAATTTTGCATATAGTGCCATTTGAGAAAACTGATTGTATTTGTTTTGTCAGTGAAAGTATGGTCAAAAAACAGCAAAGATTTAATGGGAAGCATACTAACGTACTCTTGAAAGGACAATAGCACCATCCTTGCAGATCATTTGTGACCTCAGGGGTCATGATAAAAGAATAGTGAGAGTGTTGTCTTCCAGTAAAGGCCATCTGGAGCTATTAAAATATCAGATGGAGTCAGGGCTTCAACTGCAGGATGCTCTTCTGGTGTATTTCCAGAATTCCCAATGAGACCATAATATTTTTACTGGGAAATCTACACTTTGTTTCTTCAGAGCAAAATATTTTCATTGCACTTGTAGACTAGACAAAGAGATTTGGGAGTAGAAACTCTATCGACTGTAAATACAAACTGATATCTCACTTTGGTATTTTTAATTGGTGCAGTAATGTTTTTTGTTATAGTCTTCTGAATCCTACTCAACACACAATTACTTGCACTTTGGCCATGACTTGACACATATATTTGTACATGGACCACCCTATTTGACAGCTAAGGAAAAACAAATATCTCTGTGCCGTGTAATCCATCCTAGTTCTCGGTCTTCTCTGTACTGTAATGTCCTTTCGCTTTTAAATTTCCAGTGGTCCTCTGCCTTAAAAAGCAACACCAACAAAATGAGCAGCCCACATTGGTAATTAAGACTTAGTTTATTCAAATGCATCATTCAAGGCTTTAACGGTGGCAATTAGTTGAAAGCTGATTGACTTTCATAGCTGCACTGCATTTCACATGTCACAGTACCAAAAGAGATGTAAAAGTTCACAGGTGCACTCTTGCAGCATCAGACCCTAGTCTGAAATCCTGCAGCTCTGTTGCTAGTTAGTATAGATGATAATGAGATAGATGGCCCAGAGGTCTGACTTGGTATAAGGCAGCTTCACATGTTCCTGTGATCTTACATAAAGATTTAGGGAAATAGCCCTTTCTCTTGAGCGACATGCCTAACAAACTGTGGCTTGGTACATTACAACATCCAAAGTACTCACTAAACCCATTCACACCCAGTTACTCTTTGCAGAGTCAGGGCAGTTTACAGGATTAGTAGTGCTGATCTATTTCCATGTCACATTGGTATGTTTACGATAGTTGCGAGGAAAGAACAACAGGATATGCAATATAGCCAAGCAGTCATGACCAAAGTACAGATTCCTTTCTAGGTAAAAAATAATATATACTTTTTAGAACATCTAGAATACTGTGTGTTCTTTTGGGCAGGTGGTGATGGTAGGTTTGTTGGTCTGCCTGCCAAGACTGATAGCTTATAAAACAGAAACAGGGTTTCTCTAATTTTCCCACCCCATACTTGCAGGGCTTAGGGCAGGCATAGGCAAACTCGGCCCTCCAGATGTTTTGGGACTACAACTCCCATCAACCCTAGCTAACAGAACCAGTGGTCAGGGATGATGGGAGTTGTAGTCCCAAAACATCTGGAGGGCCGAGTTTGCCTATGCCTGGCTTTGGGTGATATAGATCTGAAGTCTTGAAAGGCACACCCATTACAACTCTTCCCTCTCCCTGCCACAGCAGATGAGGGACCCTCTTAATACCAAATAACCATTTAAGGATGATTCATTCTAATACGCAATTATTGGAAGTGAGCTGCTCTTATTGCTGTTAAATTTAACAGTGCCAGAAAACCTATCAAATTATCCAACTTGCACTACAGGAGTCCAATACTTTGCAGCTAAAAGCGCTTAAACATCATGTTTACTCTAATTTTTAAAGGCAGCGGCAATTATCTGAATAATCAAAGGGATAGTGAATTCTCTGCATGTGTCTCTGATTTGTAGCGTTAGTCAAGCTGTAACATGCATTTCTAAACTACTTATGCCTCCAGTCATTTTGGTGCTGCCTGTGTGCTTTCATACCAATTTTATACCTCCACCCTACCCATAAATGCAGTCGGGGGAATTTTGTGTTGCTGTCTCACATGGTAAAGTGCCCAAGGGTGCTGCTGTATCAGCTTAGATCTGTGCTATTTGTTCTTATTGTCTACTCCAGTGGGAACCAACATGCTGCCCTCCTGATATTGTTGAACTCCAAATTCCATCATGGCCAATGGCTAGGGATGATAGGAATTGTAGTTCAGTGATGTCTGGAGGATGTCAGATTGACTACCCCTGCAGTAGACAATAGACACATATAGTGTGTCCTGATAAAATACATTTTTCTAAGTGTACCTGTATGATACACAATATTTAAAAATACGTTCTTTTCAGATCTACACTTTCCATGTGCAGGTGCAAATATTAGTAATGCACCTAAAAAAAACAAAATGTGTAGTTTCTAAATGGGAATGGCTAATATTTCTAGCCATAATACTACTGTATTAAACATTATCTAAATTACATTCAAATGTCTATAATGCATAATTCACAGAAGAAATGTGGCTGCAATATGTGGAGATGCTTATTTTCTTATTAATTATAGGTATTACTCAATGAGATATTTACACAGTCAATGAATGAATGATATGCTATCCTTACCGAGTCAATGGAAAGTTTTCTATTGATTTAAATAACGTCAGCTTTTAGCCTTCCGAGATATTCTTACGAGTTCTTTATAGAAACCATAAAGCGGGATTGCTAAAAAGCATTAAATAATCTGTGAATAGATGAAGGGCAGAGTTAGATTAAATATAAGATTAAAACATCCACCATATGCTTTTAATGGTAAAGGATACTGAAAGCATTGGGTTGCAATGTGATATCATTATGGTGTGAAATACATCATCATACAAACACCAATGATTAATAATTACCACATGCAACAGAATCAAAGCACTTGTAGTTTTATGAGGCAATCTGCAAGCCACATATGGCAGGGTAAGAACTGTTTGAGTGACAGCATCTTACCTTAATGAGAAAGCAAGTTGAATATTCAGACTAAGGGAATTCCAATGCTAAAATAAACAGCATAATAAAACTAAAACAATCCTCTACAATGGCTATATTCAATTCCACTGTTGGAGGCAGTATCTGAATATCAGTTGCTGTGAATCACTTGTTAGGAGAGTGCTGTTGCATTCAGGTTATGTTTCCAGGCTTTTCTTGGATATTTGGTTGGCCAATGTGAGAACAGGATGGTGAGCTAGATGGGTCTTTGGCCTGAGTATAATGAGTATAATGAGCCCATGGAGAAGGAGGACAGGAGGAATAACACCCAAACAGGTATTTGGTGCCATCAGTATGGTCACATGGAAACACTGCTGTGCTGCTTGCAACTTGCAAACCTTGAGTTACGTATGTTATATGTGTCTCCCCATCCACAAAATTTCTAAAGAGTTAGGAAATGTACTCTGGAGTTCAACTCTGGCTTAAGCCCCATGATTCTCAATTACTGCACTCTAGCACTTTTGTGATTCCCCCCCCCCAGTAGGTTTTACTTACCCATGAATATAAGCCTTTTTTGCACCCAGCTTTCAAATATATTTCTAGCCTTATTTCTCATTTCCAGAATTCAAGCCAAGACTCGAGAGTTTCGTGAGAGACAAGCTCGGGAACGGGATTATGCCGAGATCCAAGAATTAAACAGGACTTTTGGATGCGATGGTGACTCAATGTATGCTGGAATTGCTTCATATAATTCCTCCATAAATAGTGGCACAATGAACAATAGACCACAGAGCCCTAGGGAAGGGCCCACGGTTGAAGCGTTATATGCCCAAGTAAAGAAAGCACGCAATTCCAAGTCTTCACCTGCAGACAGGTAGGCACCAGGCTGCAGTCAATATTCTGCTTCCAATGTCTGGTTTGTATTTTATTTTATTTTATTATTTTTGGCTGTGGGAGGTGACTGTTCATCAGCTGTAAAGCCAGAACTGCATTTTATTAATGGCTTTTTAAAAGCCTTTGTAGAGAAAAATATTGAATTCACACAAATCAAGTCATAATGGAATGAGCAGTACAATCTTTTCAGATGATCCTAACACAATTCATCATCTCCTGGAAATGCTTTTGGATCCAAATTGCACTGTTTAGTATAATTCAAATTAAAGTCAAACTTGGAACAGCTTCTGGTTCAATTATTGGCAGTTCTAGTAATAAGCTGTGGTGCTTGTGGGTAGCATTTGACTTTGGTTTTCTGGGCCAGTGCCTGGGAGAATATTGCTTTTGTTTTGGAAAGGGGGTGCAAACAGAATTATTTGGGCCACTGTTTCTTGACCCCAAGGTGGGTCTCTCTGTCAGCCTTTTGATCGTTTCACACCAATTCCTGATATAAACAGCACATTTTAATCTTGAAGCTTTAGATCTGACAACCTAGCCATACCCAATTCCTAATTTCCCTCTTGCGCAGTTTAAAAACTGTGGATTTTTTTTGTTTTTTGTTTTAATGATTACCATACTAGAGGTTGCTGCTAAGCTGTTCGCGGACCTTCACTTAATTTGATCTATGATTGGTATGCTAGTAACAATTCATACTAAGCTTAAAGTAATAAAGATACTCTTTCATTGTTGTTGCTCATATTCCAAGCTGAACTGTAAGACTGGGAAAGAAATGCTTTTTCCTGTTCACAGCCACTTCCAGGCAGGTCAGGTTTCACCAAATCCAGTGCCATGCATGTGAAAAGAAGACAGGCAAGATATAGAAGGTATAAAAACTAAACAAAGGGGTAGTAGTAGAGAGTGGAAAAAAGAAGTGAAGGGAGTCTGGGTATATAAGGATTAAGAATTTGTAAAAACTCTGTGGGCAGAGGCAATAGAAAACATGCTTTGCATTCAGAAATCTCCAGTTCCAATCTCAATCATTTCCAGTTAAAGGTGACAACACAAAGAAAGATTCCCCTGATTTCCAATCAGAGTAGACAGTACTGGAATATATAGACCCAATGGCCTGACACTAAAGAATGACTTTGTATTTTTATAGACTAGAGCAGTGCTGGGGAACCTTTGAACCACAGGCCAGCCAGGCCTCCCCAATTGGCCCATGAAGTCATTTGGGTCAACCCACACCACTTGTTGCATATGGGATCAGGTGTAGGGCAGGTAAAGACATGGGTGAGCTAAAACAGAGGTTGATTACCAGTAACACCTGCAAGGTTCCCTGTCCAGCATTTTTGAAGCACTGACAAAGAGCTGGTTGTTGCAGCTTACAGAGTCCTGTTCATGGCAGCCCTTTTGATCACCTAACCATCCAGGCAGTGATGATCATTGGGGCTTCCATGAACAGCACTATAGTCAGCTAATTGCCAAGGCCTTTGTTCATACCAGTTTGCAAAAACTAGACACAAGACATCATTGTGATGTCACATGATGGATGGGTGGTCACACCCCAGGATTGGGGACTATGACAAGTTTGACACTTGGCTTTGCAATGTTTTCCATCTGAGAGGAGCAAATGGCTTTTCTTGCACCTTTCCCAATAGCAGACATCAGAATATCTCTCTATGGAGCTATTTTCTAACTGTAAGCTGCAGAACCTATTGTTTCCCTTCTCATTATAGGCACAGAATGTGATCCATCCATCTCAGCCTTAATACAGGGCCATAACTGCACTCCTATAATTATGCTAAATATTACTGTAGATGGGACCAGTCTGCTGCTTCAAGCTTTTTGTTGCATTTCCCAGACCCAGCTTTGCTCGATCTCCTTTTACCTATCATTCTTGGTGCCGTAAGAAACAACAAATATCAGTAGTTTCCCAGAAGGTTTTATTGAGCTATTTAATTTCTAATACAGCTATTATGGTGCAGCACAGTATGCTGTGTGTGATGCCAAGAAAAAAATTACATTCAGACCAAAGGTGGTTTTAAAAGTTTTCACCTGAACTAAACTCTAAGGAAAATGGTCCAGCACATAAGTGCACTGTTGCTGAGAATGCAATCTTAAATCTTTTCCAGATTTTCCAACATTATCATTGTGCTTAATGTGAAGCTACAAAAAGGATTTGTCTTAAGTGCATTTTGTTAGTGTTAATATGTAGATTGGCAACGAGTAGCTCCAGGTTTCAGGACCCTTGGCGGGCAGCCTCCTATATGAATGGGGCCCTCCTGAAGTTCACAATAAGGACCAGCTGTTTCTTGGCATACACAATTTTGTATTTCCTACAATGTCCCAGATGTTGCGTGTGCCCAGGGAATTGTGGGGGAAACAAAATGGCAGCAGCCATTTGGCCATCATATGTTTGTGGCAGGCACCGTTTTGCTTTCCCATAATGCTCCAGACCAACACAACATCAAGGACATTGGGGGGGGGACAAAATGTCCACCGTCAGCAAATTTGCAGCCACCAGATGTGTGTTCTCTGGTAGTGCTAGACCAGGTAGGCAGGCATTAGTACAGTGGGACCTGCTTTGGTGCAGAGGCTCTGCAAACTGCCTGAGAATGCAGTATGTACATGTTGCTGGGCTTGAGTCAAGATGTGGTCGAGTCTACAAGCAAGTTGATAGTCAAGAGTTCCCTTTTATATTAAGGGTCCCATTGAAATCACTGTAAAAAGTTAGTGATAACAGTGTGAAGGTTTTGTTAAAATTATGCCAGTTTCCATCCTGATCCTCACAAGTTTATATTCCAATAGATTTAATTCCAATCAAGTAATTTCCTTTGAAACAAAATGTTCACTGGGTAATGTTCAGAGAAATTAAAAATTAGTTATTTTCCATTACAAACAAATGGTTGGATTTTTTTTACCAAACATTTCTCATTAAGAATTCTCTGGCACTGTTCACCAAGAGTTAATTTTAAGATCAGCTAATTATCCATGGTCATTGCTACATTAGTTCCTTGTTTTATTCAGACATTATTTGGGAATTCTAAGCTGTATTCCCCCCCCCCCCGATGGTTACCTCTTCATTATGAGCATCAGAGAGTCACAGAGAGTTGGGGGGGGGGACTCTAGATGGAGTTTATAATTGGTTTATATCCTTCTATTCCTTCTGTTTCCATACCAAACAGTGTCTGGAGAATTGTATTCCTGTAGCAAGAGCTTTTAGCCAAGCTAAGAAGTGTGTTGCTGGTGCGTTTTACATCATAGGGAAGAAAGAAAGAAAAAGACTGATCAATACTGGCTGTGGTTTTTATCATTATTGTTATAATAATTATTTCAGATTGAAATGATGCTGCTAAATGTGTGTGTGTGGAGGGAGAGAGAGAGAAGGGTCAGGGAGAAAAAGAGAAGGAGGAGAGAGAGAATATGCTGTGACCCACCATCCAGACAGAGAACCCCATGAAAAGACAGCTGCTAATGGACATTTACTGGCTGTCGCTGTGCCATCAGTTTCCACCAAGAGTGCATTGTCCTCAAATATAATTGAAATGAAATGGGCACCGTGCTGCTGTAAACCTAAATAGCTTCAAAATAGTAGGCTAGAATCACCCAACTTGCTGCGGACACTTTAATGGAAGCGTAAATACCGTAATCATATGCTTTTTGCATTCGCTTTGCCATTAAAAGGAAAAATATGAAAAGGGAGACCTATGCTGAACTGGTTCCTGTTCCGCTAAAAGTGGAATCAAGTTATGTCATAGGAATATATAGACTGAAGAATTTTTGACCAGGACAGAATAAGCAGGGAGAAAATTCATCTCACCCTTTGTTTAGTCTCTTGGGGGGGGGGGAAACCATGAATGCTGAGTTTTAAAAATTGTCACACATGATCCTGATATACTGCTGTCATAGGAAAGCAATAGACCATTTCATTTTGCTGTTGTTTATCTCGTAATATTTACCTCAGCTTAACTTCTGAGAGGCAGTGGATTATTCAGTAATACAATTTAGAAATGCACTGAAAAAGAATAAAAAGACTTGCTCTCGGAGGCCTCTATAAAAAAAGCCACCTTCTGAGTCATATTTTACTAGAGCTGTAAAATATTACATAGCAATATCAAGGTAAATATTTCTTTAAAATGGAAAAGCAAGATACTAGAATATTATATTAAACTTCATTATGTGTAATGTCAGTCATGTGAATGATCTTTAAAGGCTGAGGTGCCACTGCATATAAATCTAAGCTTTCTTCCAAACCTATAATAGATGGAGAGATACAAGTTATTCCTCAGGATAACACTTTCTGTAAGTGCTGGAAATTTATTTCTTTTTTCTCTTTAATGGAGAGGTTTAGACTTGCTATGAAGTCGTACCTTAGAACTGCTATGGCAAAAGTGAAAGGTCACAATTTTATTACTATTCCCAGCCGCAATGCATTCTGGAGAACGCCTGTGGATTTATTAACTCCCCACACACCTTTTGCTGTGGTTACTTATAAGTCCCTAAATGGGCAAGCTTGCTTATGTTGAGTTGCACCTCATTCTGCGAATTAGTACCATTGAGGACAGTTTTTTTTTTTTATAATAATTTTTATTGATTTGCATATTAAAAATAAAGAACATCAAAGTTACAGTCTCATATTCACAGATTGTTTGATACGACTTCCTTCAACCTTTCCACAAATCATCCATAATATCCTTATAAGTATTCGCATTTTTTTTGTTTGTATTGTCGATAACCATCCTAGTTCTACTCTTTCTCTTTGACAGTACCCTTTTTCCTTTTTACAGAGCTCCTTTAAAACCCACTAATGTTATTTGTCCTTCACTCAGATTTTCCAGATAATTCGTAAAGTTTTCCCACTCCTCGATGAACCTCTGATCTTTGGAGTATCTGATTTCAATGAAATCAATGATTTCAACTGATATCCCTTTTATCCCTCTGTTTCCTCTTATTGAATTTAATAGAACTTCTAACACCATAATGAATAACAGTGGGGACAGC